GACAAGGAAAAATGGGCATATCAATACATGCGTTTTCATGGGAAAATACCAGGATAACATACAGGCTGAGAAATGTCAACGCTATCAGCAACCAATCAAAAATTCCTGTTCCAGTAAAAGATACAGTGTTTCAGTTTTAACATTATTAAACCAAGAACCTGAATTGTTTCCCAGGACAAACATGGTAGCATTCATAGTGTCAAAAACTGTTACGCAGGCTGGGAAGGGAGCAGAGCTATCAAAGGCCAATCAGATTTGGATGTTGTATGCTATAATTCTAACCTGCCAGGCGAACATGCCATTGGTGTTAGTAGCATGACTATTTTGTGGGTAACAGGTCTTCTGGCTTGATCTGAAGCAGGTTCACAGAAGGAAATACATGAATGGGCCGGGTGGTGGTGGCGCACGCCTTTAATCCCAGCACTCGGGAGGCAGAGGCAGGCGGATCTCTGTGAGTTCGAGGTCAGCCTGGTCTACAAGAGCTGGTTCCAGGACTGGAACCAAAAAGCGACGGAGAAACCCTGTCTTGAAAAAAAAAAAAGAAGGGGCTGGAGAGATGGCTCAGAGGTTCAGAGCATTGCCTGCTCTTCCAAAGGTCCTGAGTTCAATTCCCAGCAAGCACATGGTGGCTCATAACCATCTGTAATGGGGTATGGTGCCCTCTTCTGGCCTGCAGGCATACACACAGACAGAATATTGTATACATAATAAATAAATAAATATTAAAAAAAAAAGAAATACATGAATAGCCAAAAGCTTGTGATGGTGAAGGTCAAAGGCTCTAATACAGAATTCACTACTGACATTCTGCTACGTGTACAAATATTCAAACTGCCTTTTTACTAATTCTGAACACACCACAGCTTGGTGTTGGTTTCGGCAAGGGTCTAAGAAACTCTGTTTTCAATGGACAATAGTTATTTCAGAGAATTATACCTCATCAAAAACTGAGAAAAACTGAATGCTAACTGCACAGGCTATGATGGGAATTACATATCCCCACATCTAAATTGCAGGGAACATTATTGAAGAGGAGATAAAAGATTTAAAAGCTGGAAAATAGGAATGTGGCATATGAAAAACTCTTTTGCCATATGACATGACAATTAGAATTATCAACACATTACAGCCTTGTTCACAGCCTAAACTTGCCCAAAATCATACATGAAATATGAGATGGACAACAGGGAAGAAAGCACATCTACCCATTGATAAGACAGGGCATCACCAGAGGGTAAGAATGAGCAAATTAAAATGTGCATTCATTAATTATCAATATTTTATTATCAAAATTGAACAAAATTTATAGAAATAAAACTTAAGAGGAGATACCAATGTCTATTTGGAGGTAGAACTTGTTTCTTATGTACTCAACCAACCAATTAGACAAGATTTATACTACCTGTTTTTGCTTCTATTATTTAATTCAAATTGAGCAGTAAACAATCAAAACAGTGGTTAAAAAGAGAAAAAAACGAACCAAGCACAAGAGAGATCATTGAAATAGAAACGTGAATTCACTGAAGGAATAGAGGAAACACTGGAAGAAGGCAAAAATGGGCATGCACATAGGACAGAATGCATTCTTGTGGGAAGGGCAGTCTTACAAATCTGTGACAATCCAACTACTCATGATTTACCTCACAGGCACAGAAAGGAGACCAATACAAATTCACATTACTTACAAATACCAAAGACCCTAAGAGCCAGAGCAAGCCCGGACAAAGAGAGTAAAACTTGAGTCATCCTAGCTGTGATTTCAGATGATACTGTAGAACTAGAGGCACAATAGCACCATGGCAGGGACAGAAGAGGGGACACCTAAAGGACTGTGAGCAGCAGATCCAGAATCAACCCAACCTGGGTGACCAACTGAAAATACCAAAAATTTATCATACACATGCCTCATCAACCTGTGTTGAAGGGAAAGGTTCATATCCACATATAAAAGAATGAAAATAGGTGAAAATCAATAAATTGGTGAAATTTGACTGTGTGAAATTGAAAAAAATGTATACCCCAAAGTATAAAGAAACAGCATACTAAATGGTGAAATTTATTAGCAAACATTTTATAGTACCAAGAAGTTAAAAAAAAGCAAAATAAATATTTTAATCAAGAAATAAACCAAAAAAGTGACAATGCAAAAAAGCTGTAGCATAGCCTAAATGTAAATAGCACATGTTCCACACATTTACGGATGAAGAAAATGCTCTTTTTGTGTACACTGACAATTCTCTGCCCAGTCAGTATCTACACTCACGCTGTTAAATAGCAAACACTAGAGAAAAGGCAGAAGGAAGAACACAGAGACCGTGTTCTTCAGTGGGAATCCAACTCAGTGCACTCACTGCAACAGCAGAAAAGTCAGTGTGCAGTTTTATGGACAACTAAACAATAAAAAAGTAAAACCTAGGGTTGGAGAAGATGGCTCAGAGGTTAAGAGCACTGATAGTTCTTCCAGAAGTCCTGAGTTCAATTCCCAGCAACCACATGGTAGCTCACAACCATCTGTAATGAAGTCTGGTGCCCTCTTCTGGTCTGCAGGCATACATGCAAATAAAACACTGTATACAAAATAACTAAATAAATCTTTTTTTTAAAAAGATAAAACTTAGTGAAGATACTACTCAAATTTTAAAGGAATGAAATAAATTGCAAACTATCAATGAAATAGAAAGAGGAAAAGAAACATAATACAAAAAAAATCACAAAATAGTGTTTATAATTTTCTTCAATGATTTCTTGAAATGTATATGGATAATATGCACCAAACCAAACATGAAAACAGGATAATACTAAAACCAAAATATATACTAGCCCTAAATAATCCTAAAATCAAAATATATACTTCCTATGAAAGTATTTACTTCAAACATAATCATACTTAGTGCTAAGAATGAAGAAACTTTATAGATTTCCTGTGATGAGGGTTGGTCATGATTATGGTAGGTAACAGGAAAAGACGAATCTATAAGTGTAAAAAACAAAGAATATTAATAAATGATCAAAGGGTCCATTTCCAGAAAGGTATGTGATCAATATGAATGTATTTTACAAGTTTCCAATTACATGAAGCAATCAATGACCGACCTGTAGGAAGCAAATAGACAATGATACAGGAAGCTTCAATATCTACCACTGAGCAAGATGACCATAAACAGAAAACCAATAATGCCTAGCAGCCCTGCAGAGAACCATCCACTAAACATCAGAAGGTGCCCAGTTTTCTCTAACTTCAATGAGCATCCTCCAGTGTGGCCATTTCTTAAAAATAGAGCAACTTTTCGAACCTAGTAGAGATCAATATTTAAAAAGTGTCTTCTGGGCTGGAGAGATGGCTCAGTGGTTAAGAGCATTGCCTGCTCTTCCAAAGGTCATGAGTTCAATTCCCAGCAACCACATGGTGGCTCACAACCATCTGTAATGAGGTCTGCTCTGCTGCCCTCTTCTGGTCTACAAACACACAGAGACAGAATATTGCATACAAAATAAATAAATAAATATTTAAAAAAAAAAAGACTCTGTTTAAAAAATAAATAAATAAATAAATAAAAAGTGTCTTCTCCAAAAACCTAGAATACTGACATCAACATTAGAAAGAGCAGAGAATACAAAAGAGGCATGTGAACACCGACTCACTGAATGCATGCTCTCATTCATTCAAACAGGAAGAAATATAAAACGATGTTTATGGTCTGTAAATATTCTCAATAATTTATACCAAGATCTTACAGGCAGTTTTTCTATAAATGCAGAAAGTCAGGAATTCCTAAGATTTATAAAATTGTGAGAAACCAAAAAACTGCAAAGACAAAGACAGAAGGATCAAACCCAGAGGTAATTTCAAAATATATAAAACTTGTAGCAATGCAAACCATAGTGTGTTGAAGACAGACAATGGAATATCAAAGGGAAGACAATGCAAATGGAGCTTAAAAACTCAGCAGAGATAGTAAACAAACCTTATCAAAATTTTGCTGGTATTATTTTAGAAAATAGAGAAATTAACCTAAAAGAACCTGAAGGAACTCTAAGATGCTCAAAAAACTCTGTGTACAGGATCAACCAAGAGGCTTAAATAGTCCCAACTAAATGGCATGTTAAAATTATAGTAATGAGGGGCTGGAGAGATGGCTTAGAGGTTAAGAACACTAGTTGTTCTTCCAGAGGTCCTGACTTCAATTCCCAGCAAACGCATAGTGTCTCACAACCATCCATAATGAGATCTGGTACCCTCTTCTGGTGTGCAGACACACATGCAGGTAGACCGCTGTATAAATAATAAATAAATGAATTCTTTTTTTTTTTTTTTTAGTTTTTCGAGACAAGGTTTCTCTGTAGCTTTGGAGCCTGTCCTGGCACTAGATCTTGTAGACCAGGCTGGCCTCGAACTCAGAGATCCGCCTGCCTCTGCCTCCCGAGTGCTGGGATTAAAGGTGTGCGCCACCACCGCCGGCAATAAATGAATTCTTTAAAAAAAATTATACACGCCGGCGGTGGTGGCGCACGCCTTTAATCCCAGCACTCGGGAGGCAGAGACAGGTGGATCTCTGCCAGTTCAAGAACAGCCTGGTCTACAAGAGCTAGTACCAGGACAGGCTCCAAAACCACTGAGAAACCGTGTCTCGAAAAACCAAAAAAAAAAAAAAAAAATTATACTAATGAAACCACTTAATAGTGATATAAAAACACAACCAGAGATGGAAATTAAAGAGGGACATCATTCCCATGCAAAGTCAAATAAAATTATATTTGCCTCTGAGTATTAATTTTTTACATACACAGTCTTCAAACATCTACCAATAGGAAATCCTGAGATTAATCTCTGTGGAATTCTTTAGAATCATTTAGAATTAATCAGAATGTGGCAAAACCAATTTCATGTCCTATTTTTCTGTTACTTGAGCCCTTCCCAGTCTCTTTACGCCTTTCTCAATCACTGTAACAAACCTGGATCTTTTGCTATTGTCTCCTCTCTTCACCATCCAGGGCTCTTTGTTTTGATTCCCAGGTGAGCAGGACTGACTGAACAATGTGAGGCTGCACAAGAGAAAGAGATTCTTTATAAAACACCTGGAACTTTTCAAGGAGCAAAAAGTGAAGATGCTGACACCTCCCAAAGGATTAAGGAAAGAGAAAATATTAAGAAAAAGATCTCTAGCAGGGCGGTGGTGGCGCACGCCTTTAATCCCAGCACTCGGGAGGCAGAGGCAGGCGGATCTCTGTGAGTTCGAGACCAGCCTGGTCTACAAGAGCTAGTTCCAGGACAGGCTCCAAAACCACAGAGAAACCCTGTCTCAAAAAAAAAAAAAAAAAAAAAAAAAAAAAAGAAAGAAAGAAAAACCAAAAAAAAAAAAAAGAAAGAAAAAGATTTCTAGCCAGGCAATGGTGGCATACGCCTTTAATCCCAGCACTGGGGAGGCAGCGGCAGAGAGATCTCTGTGAATTCAAGGCCAGTGTGGTCCACAAGAGCAAGTTCCAAGACAGGCTCCAAAGCTACAGAGAAACCCTGTCTTGAAAAACCAACTAACTGCCGGGCGGTGGTGGCGCACGCCTTTAATCCCAGCACTAGGGAGGCAGAGGTAGGCGCATCTCTGTGAGTTCGAGGCCAGCCTGGTCTACAAAGGGAGTTCCAGGACAGGCTCCAAAGCTACAAAGAAACCCTGTCTCGAAAAACCAAAAAAAAAGAAAAAAAAAAGAAAAACCAACTAACTAACAACAAATAAATAAATAAATAAATGAAAATGTCTCTTATGTCTCTTTCTCCTTGTATTTCAGTTTACTCTGTGAGATATGAGACTCATTCACACACAGATCCCACACATCCAGAGTAGTTTTCCCAGGAACCCGGAGCAGAAGAAGGGAGACTCCAAGAAAACTATTCTTACCCTCAGAATCCCAACTGCTGCAGCTCTTTAACAGGAGATCTCAGCTAAAAGTCCCGTGAGCAGGGAGGGTCTAGGCATTTCCACTCCTACAAGAAGTTCACATTCACAGCACTAAATGTCAACAAATCCTGAAATTAAAAAAAAAAAAAAAATGTTGGTCATGTGTACTTAGGCAGAGTGCTTTTCCTCAACAAAAGGGACGTGTTTCTGATACAGGTGAGTGATCATAAATACTTAAAAGAAGATTTATAGGGCTGGAGAGATGGCTCAGTGGTTAAGAGCATTGCCTGCTCTTCCAAAGGTCCTGAGTTCAATTCCCAGCAACCACATGGTGGCTCACAACCATCTGTAATGAGGTCTGGCGCCCTCTTCTGGCCTGTAGGCATACAGACAGAACATTGTATACATAATAAATAAATATTCTTTTTTTAAAAAAAGATTTATAATATTGTTTAACGTGCATTTGCTAACTATAAAATAGTGTGGCCTGATATACTCCCGCAGCATACAAGTTGGGCTTGCCTGGTCCTTAGGTGTAACATAGGAACACAGCATACCAAAACACAAACAACATAATATTGAAAGCAGTCTCTATAAGGCTAAAGAAGTGGAAAACCGGGTATCATTGGCGGTAGGCCAGGGTAGCAGCTAAGAGAACACGCTGGGGGAGGACGATGAGCAATAGAGCCAAGGCAGACAGACACCAGGTAAGAGAGCCTGCGAGGAGCGAGAGCGAGAACTGTAAAGGACGGATGAACAAGTTTAAGGGGTGCGCGTGGCGCATAAGAAAGCACATGGCTGCAGGTGAAGAAGCGAGCTGCCGCCGCCTCCGCCAGAGCCACGGGCAGGACTGCGGGAGCTGACAGCGTCCTGAGCAGCCTCAGCGAGCACAGCCCCATCCCTTCCCTCCTGGGTGTCAGCCCCTCAGCTCCTCTGACCTGGGAGGTTCCAAGGCCCCGGGCTGCGGTTCCCCCACTGCGCTGCTGACTTTCCCAGGCCGCCCGGCGTGGAGGCTGCGGCTCCGGGGAGTTTTCAGGTCCCCGAACACACAGCGGGGTCTTCCTCACCCGGTTCCAGACGACGCGGTTCCCTGAGACCAAAAGGGACTAGCGGGATTTCCGGTCACTTCAGCCTGGTTCTCCGAAGCCATTCTTCCTGGCCCCGCCCACTACAACCACTTCCGGCTACGTATTCCCTCTAAACCCGCCTATTGAGGGCTTTTTTTTGGGTTGGGGGTGGGGGGTTGGTTTTTCGAGACAGGGTTTCTCCTTGCCTTTTTCATTTTTTAACAGGGTTTCTCTATGTAACCTTGGCTGTCCTGGAGTTCCAGTACTGTAGACCAGGCTGGCCTCAAACACAGAGATCCGCCTGCCTCTGCCTCCCAAATGCTGGGATTAAACGCGTGTGCCACCACCGCCAGCCTAGTCTAAAAGAGCTAGTTCCAGGACAGGCTCTATAGCTATAGAAAGACTTGGTTTCGAAAACAAACAAACCAAAAAACTTATTGGAGTTTTTCTCAACTTTGGAGGAAATAAACTTTTTTGTCTTCTAAACAAAGTTTACATTAATAAGTATTCTTTAAGCTGATTTGTATGTCTAAAATAATTACTAAGCAAAGCTCTATTGCATGAAACCATTCCTGAGCATCCCTGAGCTGATTGTGGACACCCTATTTCAGACCTGGAATTTTAGTCATGTCCTGGTTTCTTATGTGTAAAATGTGAGCCAAAACCATAGCATTTGCATAAGGAGAGGCTGAGAAGTTGAGATATGGAAATTGTGGGTCATGATTGGGTTAGAACACCAGCCGTGCCTGATAATCAGGCAAGGATTCAGCTAGAATTACAACTACAGGATAGGATGTGGGACTTAGGGAAAGGCATTCCATACAGTGTAAGGAAAATCTGTCTTTTGTGGTCATTTGTGAGTTTTTTTCTAATAAATTATTACATTTTGCATAAATAAACAAATGTTTCCCAGACATTGAATCATAATGGTCAAACCATGCTCTCAGTGTCCATTCACTGTTCCAGCTCCGTTTGGAGAATGTATGTCACTTACAGAATTCCATAGCACACTTTCCTTCTGTCTTCTGAAGCTTCCAAACCAGTCCAGTCTGTCTCGCTGTATGCCATATTAATGAAACCATCTGATTTGGGAATTAACACCCTAGAGCAGGAAGTCCACCAATATTTCATTTTTTAGCTGATTTTTAGCCCAGTAACTGCACAATTCATCATTGTGTCTGCTTTTCCAATGCTGTCTTGTTTTTACTGATAAAGCGTTTAGTGCATCACCCCAGAGTTTCTTTATTATTCAGGTTTGTCTTGGCTATCCTGGTGTGTGTGTGTGTGTGTGTGTGTGTGTGTGTGTTTGTGTGTGTGTGTGTGTACTTACATATGAAACTGAAAATTGTCCCTTTTTGATCCGTGAAGATGCCTGGCAGTGGTGGTACATGCCTTTAATCACATTACTCTGCAAGCAGAGGGAGGCAGAACTCTGAGTTGAAGGCAGTCTGGTCTACAAAGAAGGTTATAAAGAGAAACCATGTCTCCAAATACCAGAACTGAAGAAAAAAAAACATACAAGAATTATGTTGGAATTTTGATGGGGATTTGAATCTGTTGTTTGCTTTATTTAGGATGATCATTTTTTTTTATATATTACTCCAACCAGTCCATGAGCATGTGACATATTTCCATCTTCTGAAATCTTCTATTTCTTTATTTAGTGATTTGAATTATTTTCCTTTAGTATCTTTTATTGAAATATGTCTTCATGCAATGTTTTGATCAATTTTATAACCTCACAAAGAGTCCAAATATTCCAAAACTCCATATGCACTAAACATTATGTTTTCTTTCTCTTTAAAAAGAAAAAGAGGGCCGGGCGATGGTGGCACATGCCTTTAGTCCCAGCACATGGGAGGCAGAGGCAGGCGGATCTCTGTGAATTCGAGACCAGCCTGGTCTACAGAGCTAGTTCCAGGACAGGCCGGCCCCTAAGCCACAGAGAAACCCTGTCTCGAAAAAACCAAAAAAAAAAAAAAAAAAAGAGGGCTGGATCGATGGCTCAGATGTTAAGAACACTGATCCCTCTTCCAGAGGTCATGGTGGCTTATAATCATCTATAATGAAATCTGGTGCCCCCTTCTTGTGTCCAAGCATACATGCAGGCACAATACTACACATAATAAAGATTTATTTTAAAAATTAAAATAAAGAAAAAGGAACAAAATAAAACAAGATACAAAAATTACAAGTTTTCAAAGATGAAAATCAAAACAAATAAACAAAAGACTAATAATCTCGGATTAGAGGCATGTGTGTGACCACTTCTATTTCAATTTTTCAATATCTTTATTGAATTTCTGTCACATCCTAACTAAATACATTCTTTATGATATGCAAGTGGTTAGGATTTCACTGACTTCCCTCAGGAAATGACTGGTGCCCGCTTTGATTTTCTAGTGTATTCTCATAACCATTCTTTGAATTCTTTGTTTAGTATATCATTGAGTTTACTCTCCCCCTAAGGACATGACTGTGGCATTTTGAGTCCTGTCGTATTGATAGCTTCACTTGTCTTTTGTTTCTGCACTAGCATAAGTATATCTGGGAATAGGGCATATACTGGGTTGTTTTTCTGCCCTCCTTTTTCTTCCAGTTGATGCTTTTGCAATGTTGAAATAGGGCCTGTTTTGGCAGCTTGAAGTTTACTACTCTCCCTTGAAGTGCATTTATACCTCAGTAAGCTAAATTTCAGCCTATGAGTTCTGTTCTCTGAGAAATATTCTCCTTATCACTCTAAGATTTCACTCCATCTGAGCAAGCAGAGATAACACTTCAGACTAAACTGCAGGTTTTCCTAATGCTAAAACCTTTCAACTTCAGCACACAACTTATAAGTCATGTAGTTCTGAGCAAATATTATAAAACCAGACACATTAGAAAAATACCTTAAAATTGCCAAGGAAACACAAACTCAGTATTTCATTTGCAGCACTCCTGAAAGGCAAATATATATTAGTTCCTGTCAGGGGCCAGCGTCCTAAAGGCCATGGAAGGGACCATTGTCCTAAGGATGTTTGCAGAGAGCCCCACACCCCAACTATTTAGAGAATTATTTGTTAACAGAACCTGCCCACACCCCAACTATAGTGAGAACTATTTGTTAATGGAACCCGCCCCACATTCCAACTATCTAGAGAATTGTTTGTTGTTGGAATCACAAAAGGAACGTTTCCGCTTACACAGAGAACACTAGGTGTGCTGACTGGTGACCTTTGCTGCCCAGGCAAGGTTCCTTCTTGCCCCTGCCCCCCATCCCAAGCCAAATTCCTCATTCGAGAGCTGTAGAAGCCACAACCATTACCCTAATAAAGAGAGACCTTGACAACAGGACTTTGCTTGGTCTCATTCTCTCTCCCACCCATGTTTCTTTGTGGTAGCGCCTCTTCAGGACCTTGGAATAACTGGACCTGCTGGACGGGTACAAGTTCCCATATTTTTTCACCCAGATAAAGATGATTAACAACCTATTTGTTTAAAGGAATTGTGCCAGAAGGAAAGAGACAAAGAGAGAGTCATCAGCTGAGCACTTCCTCTATGGGTTAGGGTTGGGGGCTGGAGTGATGACTCAGTTGTCTGCAGCATTTGATGCTTTTCTTTTTCTTTTTTCTTTTTTTTCTTTTTTTGGTTTTTCGAGACAGGGTTTCTCTGTGGCTTTGGAGCCTGTCCTGGAACTAGCTCTTGTAGACCAGGCTGGTCTCGAACTCACAGAGATCCGCCTCCCGAGTGCTGGGATTAAAGGCGTGCGCCACCACCGCCCAGCCATTTGATGCTCTTGAAGAGGACCTACAGAGGGGTCAAAGCTGTCTGCATTTCCAGGGGCCCCGAATCCCTCTTCCGATATTCATAGATGTCAGGCAGTCTTGTGGTGCATCCACACTTATGGAGGCAAAGCACTCATGCACTTAAAATGAAAATAAATAAATCTAAGTAAAACCAAGGTTATAATTCATAAAATATCTATTGTGGGCCATGAAAATGTTAATGTGTGTTTAGAGACGTTAGAAATTCTTGTCCTCTTGGTAAAAATGCTTGAACAATATTTTGTAATGTAAGTTAGTGACCTGCATGTTTTTTGAGTTTTTTTTTTTGTCTCTAACTCTTTACTTACAATTAGTCTCAATGTTTTTAACATCTGGGTCAGAGATCCAGTAGTAGAGAAGAAAACAACTGTGCAGTAATCAGAATGATACCAAGAGAATATTGCTGTATACATGCCTGGAATACTCAAATAATAAGCAAAAATGCCCTTTTAAAAAGAGAAAGTGAGGCCAGATGGTGGTGGTACATGCCTTTAATCCCAGCACCCAGGAGACAGAGAACAGGCAGATCTCTGTGAGTTTGAGGCCAGACTGGTCTACAGAGCAAGTTCCAGGGCAGGCTCCAAAAGCTACAGAACCTCTGTCTCAAAAAAACCTAAAGAAACCCTGTCTCGAAAAACCAAAAAAAAAAAAAAAACCTAAATAAATAGGAAATGAGAAAAGAACTCATTTTCTGGAAATCTGCAAGTGAAATGTTGGATGTATGTGACCCCAAATACATTTTACAGCTATGATTTCTGCTGTCAAAATTCTAAGAGAGAAAAATTGATTATTTGACGATCCATTTCAGTTTAGTGAGTTAGGAAACACAAGTAGATTACAGCTGTGTAGTGTAAGTCAGTAATATTAGGCCAAGCACATCTGTCCACTTCCTGTGACACATTCTATCATATCTTCAGATAATAGTGCTGTTGACCATGTGGAAGTCATTATCTAAACTTGTCTATTTTCACCCTAAGTCCAAGACTATGTGTGAAATTACAAATCTGGAAAATGTCATATTCTGCCTGCAGTATTTCTTTCCGGTCATATTCACTGCTTCTCCAACAAAATTAGTGAAGTGTGTCTTCTTCAGAAATGAGTTCATCTAAAAGACAGGGAACACCTTACAGTGCAGTGTGCCCCTAATTACGTCAGAAAATCTGATCTGATTTCATCATATTTTCTTGAATCTGAAAGACCTGGGTAAATCCAGACCTCCCCAGCAGGAAGAAAATAGCCAAAAATCCAAGCAGGAAGAGAAGAATCAAAAATCTAGG